CATTTTTAGACTTAATTATAGCACCAAGGGGCAGAAGAATTGATAATTAAGGTTTGCTTTGATTCAGTTTTACACCAGTGACCTCAAGAAAGTTCAGCTGAACTGAATGCTTATTGATGGCCCAAAGACCTGCTGTTCTTGTTGCAATGAAACATCTCAGTGCAGAGAGCTGCAGGTATGGTAACTTGTTTAGCAGGATCCTCTACCCCTTGTTTTGGGTGTGTCTTTTCAGCTCTCTAAATGTGGGTGTTGAGAGTCTGCACACCTCCTGCCTCAGTCTGTGCAGAGCAGGAGCTCTTCTGCAGAGATTTCACTGTGTTTCTAAGGGTATGAACCAGGATTGTCTGTGTGGACTCAGATGAAGATGATAAAAACCCCTGACTTGCTCTTAGGGAGTGAGGGCAGCAGCCAGTGTTGGAGGGTAAGCTTCAGCCTTTCCAATGCAAATGAGCCCAGGACAAACACACTGCACCATGTACTGCTGGTTGCAAAAATTGAGTATGCACAAACAAGAGAAACAGCCTGGCAGCAGAGCTCAACTGCATGGGAAGAAAGGAAAGCGTTTGCTGTGGAGATGACATCTGGGTTGGAAAGCAGTGATAAAACTTCTGTTAAGAACTGTCAAAGACTATTTCCATTTTTGCTTGCTTGCTGTACTAAAAAACTTAAATAGTCACGTTTCTTTATACTGATGGACATAAAAGATAAACTTTATCCTGGAGATAAACTGAGGCCTTTCTGCAGGGGATGTATTTTTGTATGTGATATGACATAGGGAGACAACCCAGTTTTGAAACGCTACAGTTCAGAAATGTTGGAAACCCTGGCCTAGGTACCTTACTTTACTGTGAAATTCTGTGATGGTTGTAGTGTTTTATCTTGTATAAACATACTTGTCTCTGCATGTCCAGGAGATTATAGCAGAGGCCCTTCTTAGCCACTTCTTCTAAAGCTCATCAGGCTCTTTCCCATGGCAAGTGCAAACTACTGCTTCCAAAAGTCTGCATTGCTGAGGAGGTTCAAGAGAAGTGTGACTGCTGCATTTATCCTCCCCATGTAAAATGGAGTAGCACTTGGAGCATTACTTCTGCACTGATTGAAAAAAAAATACAGTGTTGCTCTAACTGGCCTTTTGTTTTATTGTGTTTTGTGTAAGTATCCTGCAACTTAACAGCATTTGTGGGAAACTTTATTACCACAGCAAATCTGGATGTGTTCAGTGGGATTCCTATAACTTACTCTTTCTAGATCCAGTGGCAGTCTGCACTTGTAGCTCAGCAGTATCTGTCCACTCTGCCTTACAGCACACCATATGAAGTGGTATTAACTGCTTAGCCTTGCAATTGAAGGAATTTATGTTGACATCCAAAGTCATCCTTACTGTAACCCCCAAATCTGTTTTTAATGACACATGTGATGAGCTAAGTCAAATATTATGTTCTCTTCTGTCAGAGCTTTGCTGGAGGTTAGTACAGGGAGGTTCCTGAAATAGCTGCAGATTGACAGGAGAGCTGAGCTGGAAGGAGCCTCTGGAGGTCTCTGCTGCAGACTCTGGCTCCAAGCAGGGGGTTAGATCAGGACGTTCTGGGCCTTGCTTCAGTTGAGTCAGGAAGATGTCCAAGAATGGAGATCCCACAGCCTCATGGGCCCTGTTCCAGTACTTAATCATGCTCATTGAATATAATTAATACTTTTTTCACAATTGGAATATTCCTTGTTGCAACTTGTAACCGTTGCCTGTAGTCTTTTCATCATGTACTTCTGAGAAGGGTGGCTCCATCATTGTAAGTGTAGTGTGTCCAAAAAGATTTTCTCATATATTTGTGTGTGTGTAAAAACTATTAAAAGAATTCAAGCCACTTTGGGGAATGATGGGCAATATCTGTTGCATCATCCCAGCCTTCATCCATGCCTAAAGGCAGTGTACTTTAAATTCATGAACACCTTGACCTGAGAGCATGGTGTGTTTCAGCTGCAAGTAAGAGAAGGTAAAAAATCACTCTGCCCAGGAAGCAGTTAATGGTAAATAAGAAAAGGAGTACAGCTAGTGTGCAGAACAGGATGTTACCAAAGTGTTTGGTTAGTGATACATTAGTGAAATAAGAATTCTGAACGTCATGCAAACAGTGCTCTGTAGCTGTGTCCTTCCCTTGCTCACAGGGAGAGGAGAGGAGCTGCCTGATGCTAGGAGAGGTTCCCAGGCAGGCTGTCCTCAGAGGACTGGGGAAGGAAGAGCTCCTTGCTGAGGCAGTGGGAGAATCTTGAGTCTGCACTGTAAGGTTTTGAATTCCAGCTTTGTGTGGAGTGGAGAAGGACTAGTAAATCTTTCTGAGAGATGAAATCCAGAATTTCTGCCTAGAGGGGGATGCAGGTTCTGTAGTAGCATTGCAGTGTTGCTGGCTGCATCTTGGAAGAGGGGAGCTGCTCTTTGCTTCCTGCCCACAAATCACAGAGAGTTTCTCTGGAAAACCCTGCTCTCTTCATTATTCCTTGTGCAGGCTGGGGTGAACCACAGAAACTCCTGGGTCTCCATGGGAAGGGAAAGTTTGTAGGAGTGATTGAGGTCTGTGCACTTCTGGGATCCTGCTCAGGCATGACAGATTGGATAACCAGTTCTTGTTGTCTTTTCCTGGTATTAATTACTTGGAAATGGTCTGTCTCCTTCTTTTCCCCCAGTGTATTTAATTCCTGTCTCCATGTGTCATTGTTTAGCACTGTGTGCACAGAAGTTGTAGCAGCTTGTGAAGGGAGCAGTTGCCAGCAAGGCAGGAGGAGGAATCTAAAGATGATTGTTAGGAAGGGTCTTCAAAAAAGAAATTTCAAAATGTCAGACCCATCAGACCTTTCTTATTGTCCATTTTTTTTTTTTAGAGATGAAACAAAAATGTCTTTCATTTAATCTTGGCTTTATTTGGGTAAAACAAAAAATGTCTTCTTCTTACCAGCCATACATATTTATCTGTCCTGTCTGAAACACTTCTCTTTATGGCTGAAAACAGTTAAACAAAACCATTCATTTGACTGAAGATAAAGTGGGTTCTTCTGTGCTGGCAAGTCTTGCTTTTGCAAGATTGGTTTTAATTAGGTTACGTTTTTTGGTCTCTCTTACTTTATGTTACTTCATGTAATAAGATGAAATTTTATTGTTATTCTTAAAATAATACTGAGTACAATTTGGTTCTCTCTCCTTATATGGCAGATGATTGTTGCATTATTGAATGCTTAGATACCATCTGTGCAAGAAATGAACCTCAGAAAAAAACCAACCACAAGACAAGAGGGTGCTGTGCAAAGACTGGTATATATCACAATGAAAAATACTTTTGTATGGCATTCTACAAACCCACAAAATATCTTCTTTTCCTTTCTTCTTCCTTTCATTCAAGGAAGGCTTGATAGAAAACCATGAATGACATTTCTAGAAGTGGAACTGGATTCCTCGAGTCCTACAGTAGAATCACCTCATTGGAGGCAACTCCCACTTTCTGTTCTTCATTGTGGCTGGGAAGGCAGAGTTTAACAGAGAGGAAATAGGAAGAAATACTCACTAGAGTAGCTGCATTTCCTATTTTAGGGTTTGACTTGGCTTTCCCATTCAGTCATTCTAATTAGATATGGATATAAGGCTGTCCCCTTATTTTTCAAAAAAGCACTTCAATGCTATTTGCCTTTGAGCTTGTTATAACTCTGTACTGCAGTGGAGATGGAGAGGATTATTCTGGAACTCCTGGTCTCTATTCACTCAGTTATTATGCTGTCAATTATCTTTTTGTTAAAGTTTTGCAGAGTAGTTATTATTTGCCCTGATGAGTGCCAATGGAGCTGCTTTAAAAATGCTGTCAGAGTAGTCCTTTTCTTTGGTTAAATTATTCATATGGTTCATGATTCCAGTAAATGGCAGTAGGAGAGAGGGGATTAGACATGAAAAAAATAATGGAAGTCTTAAAATTCCTAACTGCCCTTTCTTCTGTGTTATGTGAGTGGCATCATTTGACATCAGAGAATGTGTCCAAAGCAAAGGGAGAAATATGCATTAATGTACTGATGAGTGACAGCATGCAGATGATGCACATAGTGGTGCATCTTAACTGCAAAGATCTGCAAGACTGCAGATTCCTTATAGCATACATTAATTGGCAAGAATTTCTGGCCAAGAAAAATAGATATGTCAAGCATTTGCATTTTTCTGTGTATTAGTAGCAGTAGTTTTTCCTAACCTGTTTGTTATGTGCCCACAGATTTCCTGGGGATTCCAGTTAAGTACAGGTTCTGATTCTCTTGTATATATTTTTTTCATGTGAGAGGTGACATTGCAATAGGTGGGTTAAATAAGGTATGAAGGTAATAGGTAGCCTACAGAGGGTATTAAGTGAACATAAAATAGCTAACTGGATTATTATGAAACTAATGGGTTTATTCGGCCCTACCAGTAGGAGCAATACATTGAAGAAAATAGTAGTGCTTAGTCATTATCAATGCATAAAACTTATAACTGTATGAACAGAGGACATGAAGTCTAAGGTACAACATAGGTGTTACTAAATCTAGGAGGTAGTTCTTGGTGCACTTAATTTTGTTCTATAAGCATTCTTTTGAAATCTGGTTCTTCTTTCTTTGGAAGGATGGTTGGAATAAGACCTTACTGCAGTCAGTGGAAATATTTTCAGCACTGCACATGAGGCAGTGTAATTTGAAATGCACTTCCCTAAAAGCCAATGTGAAGGAGTTTTCCATCCTTGCACACAGAATGAAACTTCTTTGTGTGTTTATTCACTGCGGCCATCACGCTGGAAGGTGGCAAAATGCAGCTTTTGGCTTCATTTCAAGTTGTGATTCATTTTAACACCTGTGATGCCAGTTAAGTATCTGCAGAGATAGAGCAAGTGCTGTGGACTCCAGCTGCATCTATCTGATGCTATGGTCTCTAACAGCACCAGAAGTGCAGGTTGATCCACTGGCAGCTCCTAAAGATTGTTCATATACTTTCTTATGTTCAACAGATTTATCTCAGCCTAAAGCCTCCCCAGAGCAAGGATGCTGATTCTCCTGGCCTTCATTATCGTGTTTCACATAACCTCAGCAGCACTGCTGTTCATCTCAACTATCGACAATGTAAGTGTCATTTCTTCTCCTTGGCTCTCAAACACACTGCGATTTCTTTGCTTCATAAAAATTGAGGTTTTCTTCTCTAGTCTTCAGCTTGCTTACTGAGAGGACCTAAGTTTGTTAGGCACACTGGTGTCCTAAGACCTTTCTGTAACAAAAATGCCTTGGCTGTGCATGTTGCTGGTGGATAAGGCTGTCCATGGCATCTTGTAGGCTTAAGGCAGCAGATTCTCTCCCCTGGGAGAGACTTGGCCATGGAGAATATTTACAGGGTGGAGCCCTGGGATTTGATTCAGCTGGACATGAAGCAGAGAGGGAGGGGAAGATCCACTGTCCTTTTGTGTCAAGTACCTAAAGTCAAACAGCTGGTGATTAATGTGTGGGGATAATTTCAGTCAAGATGTGCTTTGCCTCACAAGTGTTTGTCCAAGATGCCCAGTTAAATCATGACAGACACCATGGTATGTGTGTCCATTAAGTTGAAGTAGCTTCAGCACAAAGCTTTAGAATATTTTATGTTGCATTGTTTCAAAATTTCTGTATTATTTCTGTGATCAAAAAGAATTTACCCTCCAATATTTATATCTAGCTTTTAATGGAATTCTCCATTTTCCAAAACAGCCCACTATCCTGATCAGAAGTCTGTGCACTGGAATCTGTCTATGAGGTCTGATGTATGTACAGGCTTTTGATATTAGAAAATCTGCTGCTGGAAATACTGTTTAGTGAAGACCATGCTCCAAGTGAAATTATGTGTTACTCACAACTTTTTATTGCAGAAGTGTACAAACTCAGGTTTTACATTTTAGTCAGCTGGTTGATTGTTCCATGGAAGTACATCATTATTTGAGCACTGGAGCAGATTGTCTTACCCTGCTTATTTGAATATTTAGAAAGAAAAGACAGTGGGCAAAGCAACCTAATCTTATTTCAAATCTGCTGCACACAACCTAAATTATTACAAAAATAAAAGCCTATGCACTCTGTGTCATTAGCTACCTTTGAACATTTAAAAACTTAAAATGTACAACCATCTTTTGTTAGATTTTATATTATGTATCTCTATATTATATAGAGCTCAGAGCTGAAAAATAACATATTGAACTGGGACTGAAAAATCCAAATGAATGGCATTCTGAGAAAGTAATTCTTTTTCTTAAAACACAGTATTCTGTTTATCCATATGCCTACTACCATAGTATATTATAGTTTTAACTGTAGTATTGTTTGTAAAGCTGCACAGTAAGCTCTGAGCCTTCTGGAATGTCTATTTAAGCAGCAGCTCCTACCAGGAATCATATTTAAAAGTCTCATTTTGTGCAGCTCTAGTCAAAACAAAGGCCTGGGTAGCTATTGGAATGGGAATGGGTTTCCTGAGGAAATGCCACTTGTGGAGTGCTTGTCATTTTCCAGGCTACTGTAAAAATCTGCTCAGATGCTGCAGAACCAATTTGCCTTGAATGTTAAACCTCAAAATAGAAATACCACAGGAGGATGTAAATTTGTCAGCCATTAGCAGACAGATGCCATAGTGTACCTCAGCACAGCTGCATTGCATTGAGATTAATCATTTCAGTGGCAGGAACCAGAACATCTATAAAGGAATTCTGTTTCACAGGTGATGCTATTCCTTGCAAATTAGCAAGTGCTGTTCCTTCAGAGAGGTGTGCATCCTAAACAGGGTCTGGGTGAATAAAGCACATCTTGTCTAGGTGTCTCAAGGAGTGAGTAATCACTGACTATACAAAATTTCTGCCCAAACAGTGGAAATCCCTGGTGCTTTGGGATGTTTAAGATGCCGTTACCCACTTCACAGAGGTCTAAAAAGAGAATGATGTGTGGATATTTATATACCCTGTATTCTGAAATGCCATGAGATGTCACATTTCATTTGAGTGGTTAAGTATCAAAAATGAACAGAAAATTGTTACAGCTGGTGTATCTAATCAGGGGACACTTGGACAACAAAGGTGTTTTGTGGGTTTTGTTTGTTTTTTCTCCCTGTAAGAGCCCTTTACTTTTATTTTGCAGGCCTGGTGGGTGGGAGATAACTTTTCTGCAGATGTCTGGAGAGTGTGTATCACGAATACGAGCACCTGTATGGCTATCACTGATGAGTTCAATGGTGAGTGTCCCTCCATTCCTGTGTCTGTGTTCCTTCAGCAGATCTGCTGGAATTGCTATGAAATGTACAGGGGCCCAGCCTGGCTACAGTGGCTGCAGATTTACACAGAGCAGCTGCACATGGTTGAAAAGGTATTGGTTACTTTAGCTCCCAGTGATGGACAGGATGAAAAACCTGAATGAGAGGAAACTCTAGTGCCAAGGGTGCATATCATGTCTGGTTACACCTTCCTGAACAGAGCTGTCTCCAGCTCTGCTGGGAGGCTGGGGTCTGCATTTGGAAGCTGTTTGGGACAGCTGGCAGTTTCACTCTGCTTCTAGGACATTGATGGCAGCAAAGGGTGGGGTGTGGCAGAAGTCTCTTCAGTATTTTCACTCAGTTTGATGAGAAGCTTTTTAATACCAAGCTGGCTGTAGTAATACCAAGGAAGCAGAGGAGAATCAGCCTCTGCAATGCACACACAACTGCTTTGCTGTATCTGCTGAACTGCTTACAGAACACGGCTCTGCCCCTTTACTCCTTGCAGGAGAAGGCAAAGAGAGAAACGATTTTTAATCAAGGCTGCTTTGTTTTTGCAGAGTATCAATCAATTCAGGCTGTTCAGGCCACCATGATCCTGTCTACGATTCTCTGCTGTGTGGCATTTCTGGTTTTCATTCTTCAACTCTTCCGTCTAAAGCAAGGAGAAAGATTTGTGTTAACTTCTGTTATCCAGCTCCTGTCATGTGAGTGATTTTTTCAATGCTTTTGACTTTAATGATATTTTCATGAATGTAGGAAAGCAGGAAAAGGTTTCAAAAAGACCAAGCTGCATGAGAACTCTGTAGTGCTCCTGAGGCCATAGCTTATCCTTCATAATTGTTTAAAGAGTGAGCTGTACCATTCTGTGATATATAGACAGTTAAAACATGGATGCCATCACTGCTCAGGATAAAGTAATTTAAACTTTGAAAGGAAAGAATTTGAGATGCTGAACTTCTTGAGGACACTAAATAACTCTCTAATTGTTACAGGCAAGCACTCACTTCTTTTTTTTGTCAGTTGTAAAAACTACCCAGATGTTCAGAATCATTTTCTGTTCACTGAAAATGACATAGATACACAACAGCACTTCAAATTTATAGCCTGCCAAATAAACTGAAAATATGTCCTGAAATGCTTCCAGGTTAGTTTGAGGATGGAAAACGAGCATCTGCAAAGAAAGGACATTGGTGGAAGCAGCTGACAGAAGAGACAGTGAATAGATGTGTGTACTGATAATGTTTCAAGATGCTGACCTTTATTATTTTCTTCCTCCTGCAGGTCTGTGTGTTATGATTGCAGCTTCCATTTACACAGACAGGCATGAAGAACTGCACCAGAGCCATGGATATGTAATGGAAGTTTCCAAAGGCCAATATGGCTATTCCTTTGTCTTAGCCTGGATTGCCTTTGCCTTTACCCTGATCAGTGGAGTGATGTACTTAGTATTAAGGAAGCGTAAATAAATGTCAGCACCTAGTTATTTCTGTCACTGCAGTACAAAACCAAATTCCAGTAACCATTTTGTATATAATCATTTACATGGTTTTGTAGTAAAGGTATTGTTTCTCTAAAAATGTACTGTGTTCTTGATATGAAACAGAATTAAAAAAAAAAAAAGAAGGCAGGTGAAATGAAATGCCTGGCACCTCCAGGTCAGGGGTTGGAGCAAGACAGAGCCAAGTTGTTTCTTTTACATATTTTATCATCATAAATTGTTTTCCTTTATTAGACATTAACAGTATGTTCCTGGCCTCCAGTAGATTACAAATAAAGCCCGTGCAAATTAATTTGTAAGCAATATACTAATTATATTCCTGGACCAGATATCCCTTTGAAATATGTTAAATAGAAGGGTGTGTAACAAAACAAGACCCAGATGACAGTGAAAAAGCAAACACTTCTAAAGCCCAGAGCTGCACTCAGAGCGTCTGCCCTGGCTCAGGACCAGTGTTCTGCTCTGTATAATGTGCAGTAAGTGTCATCAAGTTTTTATTAAAACCACTTGCTTTGCAAAAGTAAACAAGCCCTTTTTGTTCTCCAGCAAATATTTCTCTTGATTGTGTTTCACATTTAATTTAAGCACCCAGAGCCTTTGGTGGGAGCACTTATCAGCCAATTCCCTGTTTAGCCTGTGCCCAGCACAGCTGGGGCAGTGAGGAGCTCCCCACCCCAGCCCTGGATCCCTTAGCCTTGGGCAGCCTTCCTGGGAGGGAGAAAAGAGAAACAGAAAAGCATTACTGGGCCTACATCTGCAGATTTCTAAGCAGACTAGTGATCAAGCAATGCCAAATTTAGGTTTTTACATGTTTATTACACTGGGATTTTATCATGTAGTGATTTCATGGTTAATGTGTCCTGTGCAAAAGCATTCCCTGAGTCTGCCCATTGGGAAATTGGCCTTTAAAAAATTGATTTTAAATTCCTTTGTGGATTTTACTGGAACTAAACACTGCTACTAACCAAATCAGAGTGCAATTGCTATGCTTACGAATTTCAGGATAGGTTTCAAGATAAAATGACCTGGTGGTTTTTATTTTTCAGTAATTTTGTGAGCTAAATCTTTGCTCTAATACCAGGCTTAACTGCCAAGCAGTGTAATACTGGATTTGGCTGATGGTGATTCTGGAGATCAGTGTGGAGAATGAATGAAGCAGCCTGTCCTGATTAGTCACTGTACTTTGATGCTTAAGTACAGATTTGACATTTGAAAAGCTCTAACCATTTATTTATTTATTTCATATTCTCTACAGCTGGCCCAATATAGAGGCAGTAAAAAAGTAAATAGGTTTTGAATGAGGTATTAAAGGAGAACAAGTTCAGTATCATAAGGCAGTGTAGCTCTACTGAGATTAATAATTACTACATTAGACACCAGATAACGAAATTTTATCTGTTTTCTTCAGATTTATCCTTGATTTATCACAGAGTAAAAGTTCAGGTGCATAGCTTTTTAGGAACTGTCTCCAGCATGAGTGACAGGTCATGTAGTTCCATCTTCATTCTTTCAGCATCCTATAATGCTTTGGCATGTGCTGCTTCTCTTTCAGGAGCAAAGAAATCCCAATAAGACTGGTAAAAAATTAGGATGAGCAAGCAGGACATCACAGTAAAAGTAATAATAATAGTTAAAAACCCACATCAGTTTGAAGAAAAGGGATTCTTCCCAATCTAGCATCATGCTAGTATTTCATCAGGTTTTTTTCCTCTTAGTGAGAGTGCCCTGAATTTCAAGAATTATTACCCTACTTTTTAAAAAAGTGTTTCTATAATTTGCTGAATACATTTCAGGTTCAAAACCTGAGTTTTTGCTAGCAAATAAAATTTGTCTTAAATAAATAGATGCAGGTTTAAGGATGAAAGTAGATAGACTGATAGCTAGGCATTTTGTTACTTTTATTAAAACATTAAACAATAAGGGAAATTTTGAAGCAAATACAGATTAAAGCTCTAATATCTAGACGACAGTCCTGAAGAATTCTAAGTTAAGCTTTTTATGCCACTGACTTGCAGAGATGCTTCAGTTTCTTGCCTTGATAATGCTCAGGTCATTTGTAGAGCAAATATTTAAAAACAAGATGTAGATATATATGAACACAGTTTAATTCCACAGTAAAGGCTCTTTCCCTTTAATAAAGTGAAAAGCACACACACAACAAATACTCTGATGCACAACTCCTCCACTTGTGTACAAACACCAGCACGTGCATGATGCCACACAGAAGAGATGGGAATGTTCTGCACAAGTGAACAGACCAGTCTGAATGAGAGTTTGATCAGAACAAACATATTTTAGGGTTTTTTTTCTACCTTATATGCCTTTAAAATATACCATTTTCTATACTCTATATATTCTGAAAATGTACATGAAAATAAAGTTAAAACAAATTCTTGTACTGTATTAGCAAACTCAATACATTTAGCAATCTGACCTTTTCTTTAAGCTTGGGATATATTTACACGATGTTGGATGAGAAATAGTTGAGTTTTTGTGTGAACAGGTAAAATTAAATTCTTCCTGCCTGTAAGTAGAACCAGAAGCTGATTATTTTGTCCTTTGTTGAAGACCTTTCAGGGTAAGCAGAGAAAATATTAGTGTATTGAACTTTTAAATGTATGGTGTCAAGAGAATGTCTTGAGTAATGCAAGATCCACTGATGCTCTGAGGAGTTATTACCTATAAGGTTTTTTTTATTTTCCATCATTTGCAGAAACAATCATATATTTTAAGATGAGGTTGAGTGCCTTGACTGGATGAGCAAATAGTGTAAGCAACAAGCCAGTGACTTCTCTATCTGCTCCAGTCCAAGCTTTGGATTTGCAGATCACACAGCACACTTGGGTTTGTACAGATCCATTCAAAACACTCCCCCAACTCCACAGAAATAATTTCCCAAACCCCATAAAAATTCTCCTTTGTAATCATAATGAATAAAAGGAAAAAGTCCCAATTGTTAAAATATTTGCTATCAGCTGTGAACCTACCTTTATGTTTTTCACCTAGCAAGTAATCATCTGCAGCACAGGAAACAATCTTGGAAAAACAATCTTTATGTCAAGATATTTTTTTTTTTTAATGTTTGCTTTTATTTATGTATTCTGTTCAGAATAAGAGCTGGGCATTACTTTGCTATACTGTATCTTTGAAAAGTATTGTAGGTGATAGAATCTGTGCAGCTTAGACATTACCTAGTTTTTTACCCCAGCTACATCAACATTAATTTTATGTGGTTCTTAATGTGTTCAAAATAATGGAGGGACTGCTTGACTTGTTCTGTTCTTATCTTAAGCATTGTGGAAGTTTGTGCCACTTAGCTAAACAGACCAAAGAAAAGAATTCTTCTGCAATTCCTAAAGACGGGAATAAGATGAACCACTACCTTTCCAAACACTAATGACAGCTAAAAATCCTAAAACCATTGAAATAAAATAATGACGTTGAAAATTTTATTATATTTTTCATTTCTTTTATAGGTGCAATAATCCCCTCTGAAGTAATAAGATGAAAGAAAATTAAATGTGGAAGTAAAGTAGTTTTAAAAAGAAGACTTCCATTTTCAAGGCTGTAGAATCAAGCTTATAAAACTAAAGGAGTAACATAACAGACTGTGACAAGTAAGAAACATGAAGTTAATACTGTCAATAATGCTTTGACATGAAACCACTGCAAGTAAGGGTAGTACTTACCAGCAGTAGCAGACACTTGGTAAGGTACTCTGAGTGTCTTAAAAGGTTTTTTAAGCAGTTATAGATTGCATTATCACCAAATGGTCTAGAACATCCAAATGATCTCATTGAATGAGAAGATCCACCAAGTAACTCCTTTGGGGATGATAACCTGTGATAAAGAGCTAGGCACTGGAAGTGGCAATGCCTTTATTTGCCTGTTTTCTTCCACACTGAAGCAGAATTACTACAAAGGTTTTAATGGAACAGACACAGGTGATAACTGCATAGGGAAGCACATTTGGATCAGTTTCTGTAAGGGTCCCTGACCTTTGCATTTTGTCATGAGCCTCTTTTAGTTTTGAGATTCTGAGAAGGTCTTTGAACCCTTCAGGAAGCACTGCACAAAGAAGGATCCTTGGCAAGATGTGGATGCCTGGAGGCAGACTGGCTATTGCCTGAAAGTCTAGGCACTGGGACAAAGCCAGTTAGTGCACCAACCAAAATAAACCACTCACACTACTTTATAGTCATACTAATTTAACTTCATTTAAATCTAGAAATCTTCATTTAAATCTATAAGCTGAATTGCTGCTGTCTGTACAGTTTCCAGACTAAGAGCACTGGCCCAGACTTCCTGACATTCATGAAATGATATTCAGCATCTTGTTGGCCTTTGGGTTCTGTCTGTCCAGTCGGGTTTGCCCAAGGCAGAAAACCCTCCTGACACACTGGCAGTAGGAACTTAGCATCACCTTGTGCTATCAAAAGGAGAGCTGAGGAAATTCCATTGCATTCAGAGGGTATTTGTTTATCTTGGATCACTACTGCACTTACTGAATTTCTAAGGAAAATGTTCTTTTTAATCCTTCCAGAAAAATTTAGCCAAAATGTCAAAAAGCTGTGCATGTATGTAGTTACTTACTTTTAAGACAGGTTTGCGTTGCACAGATGAGTGAAACTGCAGATGCCTTAATGAAATTAAACTGCTGTAATAAATGTCAGCAAGTATCAAACAATGCCAGTGATACCCAAACTATATCATATGGTGCAGGTTTAGGTCTGTTTTACTGCTGCTGCTTGAGAAGAAAGCTTTTGTTCCATTTCTCTTCAAAAACCTGCAAAAGTGAAACTTTCTAACGAAGCTTGTGCTGCTGTCATAAATGCTAAAGTTCCGAAAACTTCATTTAAACCAAGCAGGCAAATATTGTTACAAAGGAAGGGTAGGAATATAGTGTGTGCAGTGATTCACTGACTCAATTTTCTTAGTATATTATCAGCAAGAAGTAAAAAAAGTGCCATATTGAGAAGTTTTTTTAATATTACTTTAGACATTTTTGTTTTCTTTTTAGCACAAAAATCTTAGGTCTAAAGTATCGCTATTGAAGACTTATATATGCTTTGGAAATTAAAAGCCTGAAAGCTCTTAGGGTAAAAGTTTAAATCCTTTTGTCAAATTATGCTTTTACACATTTTTAGGCTTGACAGATTTGGAGGGGCAGGGAGGAAAAGGAAGGAAAAGACAAAGTAGAGGAAAAAGAAGATAAAAGGGGAAGGACGGCTGGAAAAGGTTTTGGGGCTCGGGGTTTCTGTGTGTTTATTTCTGACGATGGTGTCTCCTGGCGTTCCTCACTTGCTTCTATAGAAAAATGTTTTACTGTCCCAATCCCGTTCCAATGGAGCCTCCTGGTGGCCAAAGAGGAGCCTCCGTCAAAGCCCAGCCTGTCACTGTTCCTTTCCCTTGGCAAGGTCTTTAAAAAGCTGAACTTTCCATCCAGTCCTGAGCATCCTGCAGTGTGCACAGTTTAAAAAGTGGCTCAGCTTTGGCCGTGGAAGGTGCAATTCTATGTACAGTGTAAAATCTCGTGTACTTTTCCTCAGTGGCCATTAAATACTATTTTTTAAATAGGT